TCTACAATCGATATTTCTTTACACAAACTTTAAAGAAGAGTGATTATAAAGTATACTCATCAATCTAAAGCAAAACCAGAGCTTTTCTAAGCTTCATGACATACACAACACAAGTTTATTGATAATAGAGAAAGATGCAGCTTATGACGTGGATAAATTTGAGATACTTTGGGATGTACGTTACAAAAACGTTGGGATATACGTTAGGAAAATGTTAGGATAGTAGATCTGTTTCAACTGGTGAGGAAATTTTGGGATATACATTAGGAATATGTTAGAATACAGGTTAGGAAAATGTTGAGATGAGGAGAAAATTGGGATGTACATTAGGAAAATATTGTGATGTAAGGCTAACATCCTAATATTTTTCTAACATGTATCCCAAACAAGAGAAAGAGATCGATGAATAGTGGACTGTGCTCCAACCGGTGAGATACTTTGAAATGTACATTAAGAAAATGTTGGAATGTACGTTAAAAAAATATTGAGATACACGCACATTAAGAAAATGTTGGGATACAAGGCCAACGTCTCAACTTTTTCCTAACATATATCCCAAACAAGAGAAAGAGATGAATATTGAATATTGATCCAAACTAATATATATATGTATATCAATACGTGTTTATATATATATATATATATATATATATATATATATATATATAAAGTTTTGTCATGCTCGGTAAAATTTTGTTATTAAAGATTTGTCTTTTTTGTTCCCAGTGACGTGGCGCAAGGAGGAACACATGTTCCTCACCTAATGGAACTGACTCTCCTATAATGCAAGAGAAGATTTTGTTCTACTATTCAATACCTTAAACTTTTGAATAAATAAACAAGCATCCACTTGTTACGTAAACATTAATCAAAGAATCAATGCGACTCAAATGCATGAAATAGTCTTGTATTTATATAACACATATTATATGGATTTACAATAATATACAATATCTTTAAAATAAAAATATAATATGTTTTTATTATTATTATATTTTTAATATAATGATATTGGATCCTGGAGTTGCTAGTTTATCACAATTGGATTCGACAGATGGCATGTAGAAGAAAGAAACGATGCATCATGCATGCATGCATGGATAACAAAGTGTGGAGGGGACATATGATGTGTTATTTTTTGTTTTTTTTTTTTTGTTTTTGTTTTTGAAAGGTTATAAGATGTGTCATTGTATTTGAAGATGGAACAACACACAACATGTCTAGACTGTTCAACCACATCTCTTTCAGTATTTAGGAGAAGATTCGAATTTCAATATTTAACTACTATGTTTGAAATGACCACACCTATTTTGCATCTGATTCCATCCTCATTCATGTCTATTTTTTTTATCGTACACATAGACTAGACAATTCAAGTATATACGAGACAATTCCAGTTCTAACATTTGACTACCCTATTTGAAACAAGAAGGAATCAAATTTTGTTGGAAGCTAGCCAAATTCTATTGGGCTCTTTAATTAGTAGGCTGAAAGAAAAAGATTGCCGCTAATCGAGCAAGAAAAAATTATTACATCGTTGGTATTACATGATCTGGCCAATCGTAAACAAGAAAAATAAAGTTAACTCAATTATTTAAATTGCAGGTTGTGATTGATGAGGATCATGAATGATTTAAAACTGGTGAAGAAAAGGTGTATCAGTGACCAATATCAGCAAAACAAGCAACAACAGAAAAATTCCAACACGAATCTGCCAACAAACATGCATGAATTGAAACCGTAGTTTTGAAAAATGCCCAAAAAAAAAAAAAAAGACCTAGGGTTGCGATCCAAATCGATTGATGATTTGATGAATGGATGAAGGCTTGAAGCTTGCTATAACTCCAAATCGACTGATGGAGGCTTCAACCAGGCCACAGATGACTCGAAGAGACAAAGACGAATCAAACGATTGATCAAATGGAGGCTGTGACTTTTTAAGTTTGGTGCAGGGAGTGACTTGGTAATATACTTATAGTTTTATAGTATTAAATTATTAATTATATAATTTAAAAATAATATATATAATATATATTAAATTATTGGTTCGGTTCCGATGGTTCTAAATTTTCAAAATTAAACGGTTTCGAAATCTTGATTTGGTTTGGTTTCATGATTGGACTGTTTTTTTTTTTTTTTTTGTGCACTCCTAATAAAAAAAACATATCTACCCATGAGATCTCTGACACCAATATTGTAAAGTGCATGTGTTAGAAGACTGGACATATGCACCAAATGTGTTTCGAATTTTCACCATATTTGTTTGATATATTCATCACTTTTCCTTTGAATTTTCAGCAGTCATATTTTGATTTTGAGTTTGTGAACGGGTCAAGTTGTGTTGAGTTGACACCTAAAAAGACACCCAAGTGATAGTCATCTTAAGATCTACATGGACATATGGAGAGTAGAACAACTCAACCCATGTATGAACCAATAATAAAGTGGAAGGTGGACGTTAATTTAGATTAATTATATTCCAAACACTTGAGACAACTTATTTGTTAACACTTGGGCTGGATTTTTATGTCGCTGGGTGAATGATACAACAAGTGGGCTAGATTAATTGGGGCACCTACACAGAAAAGAGGAAATGGGCTACTGGACTCCTTTTAACAAGAGACAAGGATTAGTTGCTGGTACTAAAGATATTGGGCTAGATCGGCATATGCAGATTTAAAGCTGGAGACAAAGCCTATTCTCAAGAAAGTTACTAGAGTACTTTTTTCGTATAGAATTTAGATGGGAAGTGAAATGGAATTGCAGTATTATTTAATACTTCAAATTTTTGATCAAATGGACAAGCGTCCAGCTGTTATTGACACTGTGTGTTGAATTTTTGATTAAAAATTAATTAATTTCTTTATTATTATTATTATTATTATTTTTAAACGTAAACTTGAATCAATATCAAAGGGACTCAATTCCTCATGTCTCAAGTGCATGAGATAGTCTTGTATTTATATAACACATATGACATCGAATTACAATAATATACAACATTATTAAAATAAAACTGTAATATATTTTTAATATAATGATAATGGATCCTCGCGTTGCATGTGTATCACAATTGGATTGCACAGATGGCACGCAGAAGAAAGAAACGATGCATTATGCATGCATGCATGCATGAATAACTAAGTGTGAAGGTGACATATGATGTTTCATTTTTTGCTTTTTCTGTTTTTGTTTTTGAAAGGTAATATGATGATGTGTCATTGGTAATCAATATGATTAATGTACTGCCATGTTACATGTGACATTCATTGTATTTGAAGAAGGAACAACACCCAACATGACTACACCAATTGTGCTTTGTATTCTATCCTCATTCATATCTACTCTCTCCCTACACTTGTTGGACCAGACAGTTCAACCACATCTCCTTCAGTATTAATTTAGGAGAAGATTCGAATTCAATATTTAACTACTATGTATGTTGCATCTAATTCGATTCTCATTCATGTCTATTTTTTTTTATCGTACGCTTAGAATAGACAATTCAAGTATATAAGACAGAATTCGAGTTCTAACATTTGACTACTCTATTTGAAACAAGAAGGAATCAAATTTTGTTGGAAGCTAGCCAAATTCTATTGGGCTCTTTAATTAGTAGGCTGAAAAGGAAAAAAAGATTGTCGTTAATTGAACAAGAAAAAATTATTATTTGGTCCGTATTACATGATCTGGCCAATAATCGTAACCATCAGCCAAAAAAAATAAAATTAACTCAATTATTTAAATGGCGGGTTGTGATTGATGAGGATTATGAACAATTTAAAAATAATTAATTTGTATTTTCATTTGAAGTCTTTATATTTTTAACAAGTATTGATCAATTTGCATCACATTAATTAGTTATCGGTTAAATTTTTCTGTGGTGGTAGGATTCACTTCTCAATTAAGAGTTGAATGAACTTGGTAGAAATTAATGGAGGTGATACATGTCCTGGTGTCAATACACACACATATTTGGGTATCACAATCAATTTATGAATGTAAATTTGGGCTAATAACAAAAGATTTTGCCTAACATTCTAACTTTAGTCTTCAATAATTTCACATGTAACTAAAGTACGAACAAGATGAATGTTTTTGTCCCAAACATTTTTTTACCTTTTTTTTTTTTTCTTTTGGGTATACTTGTATCTTTAATTTCACAATATATCCCACATTAATACAGTAGTCATAGAAAAATCTATGAATAAATTGATTAATTAACATGTTATTTGGTTGATAGGGTCAGCTGTTATATTTTTTTATTTTTTTCTTTTTACTACTAGATTTTCTTGAGGTCCCACAAATTTAATTGTAAGATCCATCTGGTTTTTACAACCATGCTTTTTAGTTGTGGATAAATTTTTCAACCACCCCATATTTATTCACATACATAAATGCTATTTTCTTTCTTCACTGTAAACTGTACGTATCCCTCAGTATGACTTTAACACCCATTTATTTTCTGGAAAGACCTCTATAACGTTAAAGAATTAGATATTTGATCAATTGTTAACTAATTGTTCTAGAGTTACACCCTAAGTCACACAATCTTTCTTAATAAGTGTCGTTTTCAAGTTTCGTGCCCTTCCGCTCTCATGTTCTACACTCGCTCTCGCTCAAATTCTCACTGTTTATGATTTAATTGTGCCGTTTTCACGTTTTCGTTTTCAAATTCGCTCTCACTTTATGTGACTTAAATTATACCGATTGTGCTTTGAATTTTCACCGCATTTAGTTTGATGTATTCACTTTCTTACAATTTTCACCAGTCATATTTCGAGTGCACTTCTTTCCTTGGAACTATACCATTTTTAATTCCAATCTTGTACTTTAATTAAAAGGGTCACCACATGCATCTGCTTGGAGTTGAGAAACAAAAGACCATCTCACCAAACAATATCCCTTTCTCTAGAAGTGATGCATTAAACGGTACGTTGTTGAATTATGAGGTACTCTAAATTTTAAGAGGCCTGACACCGTTGCCCAAAACAAAAATATTAAGAGATAGATCCAAAAGGGTTTAATACTAGTCAAATATATATATATATATATATATATATATATATATATATATAGGTGAACATAAAATATAACATGGTTTGATGTGATTATACCAAAATCACATCCATCATTTGCAGATTACAACAAGAGCTGATGCATATATATATATAGTCTAATTAAAAAGGCTTGGAGTCCATGGACATCTTCAAAGGAAGAAACCCATGTCGAAGACTGGCTTTCCAAACTTGGTCAATGTTGAAGATGGAGTTACCGCACTCATTCACATTCCATCCTTCTAAACCATGCACTATCCCAGCTATTCGCCATGCACTCATCACCCTTCTTGGCAGCCAATTCTATGATCCAACACATTCACATTCATATATATATATATATATATATATATATATATCCATGTACGTAATCAAAAGAAGCAAAAATAAAAGATTAATCAAATTTAGAAAGAAAATTACATATCTAACCTCACACGAGTCCACATTCTCGAGATACTTGGGAGTCAGCATCGCTGGTGTGTGGTAGTAGAAGCAGTCCTTTCGCAGTTTCATTGGAGGAAATGGCGAGATTGGAATGAACAATGTCCCTTTTGGTGCCTCCCATTGTTCTTCTTCAGTCAATCCCTCTCCCACCAACCATATCTGTACAAATTGGTCACATCTTGTAATGTTTCAAAACTACGTGTTTATATATACACACACACACTATATATAATGTATAAAAAGAACAGATTTTTGGACATCAAAGGAAAAAAGTAGGTATATAGAAGATATAATTTACCTTTTGAGTAAAAATTTTTGATAGGACCAAATTTTTTGCAGCCTCAGTTCCAAGATTTGCTTTAAGTTTGTTATACTCATCCATGTGTAATGTGGCTACCTATTAAAAATACAACTTTGTGATAGAGGTGATAATGGAGATTGAATTTTTTGTCTTACATTACATAGATTAATTACTGCAACTTAACATTTTTGCAGCATGTATATATATATACCTGTATTCCCCTTTGGCATAATGCAGAAGCTATTGAATAAGCAAGTTTGGATAATTTGGCATTAAGGAGTAGTTTGGTTGTTCCTTCAGGAATGCTGTTTAGCACAACAGCCACTGCTAAGCTACTCCCATCCACCACCTTCACTTTAAGCTGTGGGTGCCTCCGGATGTAGAGCTCACCATTTCCATTAAGCTCCTCCCCCTACACACACACACACACAGGAGGGAGAGAGATTAAACTTGCTGCATTTTCTTAGATCCTCACTAATGAGAATTTACAAGATCCGATGCATGTGGACTAATTTTACATTTTTTTTCTTTTATACAATTGCTTGATTTTCAAAAATAATAATAATAAATAAATAAAGGTATCTCTCCATAATTTTCTGACTTAGAAACCTATTTTATGTTTTTTAAGTTATTAAAAATTGTTTTAGAACGTTGAACCAAATATGCTTATAGATTTCACTTGCATGTAATATATAGAAGGGGATAAAAAGGAGAAAGAGCAACAACTTGCCTGGTTAAGAAGACCTAAGCTCAACACCTTTGTGCCTCTTTCTTCAGCTTCTAGTATAGCCTCCTCAATCAAGCTATTGATAGACTCTCTTTGCCAATTGATAAAGTACTGCAATATGAAAATTAATTAGTGCAACATATTTAATGCGTCTGGATGTTAATTGCAGTGCAGTGAATGATCAAGATCATTTACACGTATAAATAATCTAGCCGTCCCTACTGTTGCAGCGCCATATTATAATAACAAAGAATAAAAATTTGTACATGCCAATACATATATAAAGTCTAAACGAAATGGATTAAACAATACTTACTTGTACATTGTACTTCGGTATGGCCCAAGTCTGCAATTTGAGATTTTTCAAAATATTTCTCTCAACAACAAATGTTTTACCATAAATCCAAGTGAGCATCATGGACCAAAGTGTGAGAGGCCACATGAGCCACAAGTACCATTTGGATGTGAGAGGCTTAGAGGCCAAAGAGGCGAACCCAAGGCGCATATGATAGATGGACTCGGGCGTGGTTAGATGGGTCAGGTGCACCACATTAGGTGACTCCTCTGGTCTATGTAGTGAAGTTTCATATAATGCGTCTGTTGACTTGTCGGTGGTACCATAAATGTAGTCATAGAATGGCATGAAGAGTGAGTAGTTGGTTCGAAATTGAGTGTGATGTAGAGAATGAAACCTGTGGTATCAAAGACTTAAACTTCAATATCTAGCTCAAGCAGCTCCATATAACAAATGTGTGTGCATGTGTATGTGTTGACAAATAACAATAAAGATTTTTTTTAATTTTTCATTTTTTAGTTTTAAAAAAAAAATGAGCTTACAAACATGATAGTATTATTGTTAAAATATTAGGAATTGAAATTTAGCACGAATATAAATCGTATTTAAAAATACGAATATAATTTCACCAACCCAAATATAATTGGATCAATCACATCACCGTTACAGCGTACCAAATCAAATTCAACAACTGAAGAAAAATAAATTCAGCTTGAACTTGTTAGGTTGAGGGTCAAATTGAAAGACAAAGTACATTCATATCAGACTCAAACAAATTAAAATTAATAATAATCAATGACCCTATCTAATAATAACTTAAAATTGCATAAATAATAATTAATGAGTACGAGCACACATCTTGGAGTATTATGAGACATGCATCACATTAGACGGACTCAGATCCTCTACGGTGCACTAGATGTAATAAAATTCTCTACATTGTACTTCACGGTGAAGAAACAACAACAATACAACATTCATGCAACATATTTATTTTCAAAATGCAATACTTATACAATATGTATTATATCGAGTTGCAATAACATTACAATTAAAAATTAAAAATACAAAATGAATTTGATTTTCCCAATGTTGCATATATCAATCAAATTGAATTTGATTAAATGACATGCAAGAGAAAGAAACAATGTATCATACATCTTTATCTGGAAAAAAAAATAAATAAATAAATAAAAATAAAAAATAAAAAATCATCATACATGTATGGTGTATGTACATATTTATTATATATACGTACAAACACGCGTATTACAAACGATCCGAATACACCCAAAGAAGTTCTTTTCGAAAGCTACTGCCACACAACAGTGACCACATCAATAATGACCACATCAATAATGAATGCATTTGTACCTCCATTCATGTCAACCATTAGAAACTCGTAGAATTAATTTGAAAGCAACTGCCACACAACAAGGACCACATCAACAATGAATGCATTTGTACCTCCATTCATGTCAGCCATTTGACAATTTTGGATTTATTGTACAATTTAAAGATATTGATCGATAACCTATGAAACATGGACACGGATACGAAATACGAGTACGATACGATACGAATATGATGACATGACAAATTTAAAAAAAAAACGACACGGACACGGCGGGAATACGCCGATAAAATTTTATATATATATATATATATATAATTATATATTCAAAATATAATTACTAGAACAGGTATATATAAATACAAAATTGCAAATAAAACAATAACAAATAACATGACCAATTTTAATAATTTCATCTCTGTTATAAGAAAAATATAGACAAGACAAAACAGAAAATAAATGAAAAATAAAGTTGATCCAAATTTCAAACGAAGATGTGCAGAAGAGACATAGCTATAATGAGCTAAATATGTATATGAATAAACATATATACTTTCAGTCTTCCACCAAGTTTTATTCATGTAACTTAAAAAAAAAAAAAAAAAAAGTCTTGTTCATGTAGAGAGATAATTGAAGAAGAGGAGAGACTGAGAGAGGAAGTGAGAGAAAATAAATTTTTTGTGTAATACTCTATTGTCTGCAGTTGTTTTTTTATTTTTTCAAAATTTTACTTTTAAACTTTTAAAATTAGTAAATTACATTAGGTACCCAATTTATCTTTTAAAAAAAATTACAAAATATACCCCGTCGTGTACCCCGCCGTGTCCTATCTTTAAAAAAAATTACAAAATATACCCCGCCGTGTCCCTAGCGTGTCCGAGTTGTGTCCACCCCGTGTCCTCCGCGTGTCCAAGCCGTGTCTAATAAAAAATAATTTATGGATACTTCACAGAGGTGTCGGACACGTGTCCGAGCCTCGAATACGAGTGTCAGTGTCCGAAAAGTGTCCGACACTGGTACGGGACCCCTGGGAGGAGTGTCCGTACTTCATAGTCGATAACTATTGTGTGATTTCATCATTTTATCGTCCGTGTAAATTGCAGTGATACCTCTTTGAAGGTTTTTGGTTAACCTCACTCAGTGGATAGTTAATAATTTTTTTTATGTTGACAGTTTGCGAAATTTTAAAAATATGTATTGTCAGCCCTCTAAACCTCTAAAACTATATACATTTTATTTTTTAATCTTTTGACTGGTCAACGATATTATTATTATTTTTTTTCCTAGTTGGGACTCACACACATTGTCTCCACTGAGGTTCGAACCCCTAACCTCCCTTTGAGAGGTAGGAGCCTTGTATCGCTAGACCACAAGCCTGTTAGTAACAACACTATTTAAATTATGAAATTATAAATTTAACCTTCTAACTAAATTTAATGGACCAAACTAATATCTTCATCTCTTTTATACATATAGATATGATTTATATATAATAATACTTGTATCACCATAACTATCACCATATCTGGATAAATTGTACACAGCCGTAACCATCTCAACATAAAAATAAAAAATAAAATTATATATATTTTTTAAATAGCTAGATAACTGTATATCATCATAACCATCACCGCAATATAAAAATAAAAAATAATGAATAATAATTTTTTAAAATAATTTTAGACTACCATAACCACCACTACAACATAAAAACAAAAAATAAAATTAATTTTTTTTTTAAATTGCCAAATAACTTTACATTACCATAACTACCACCACCACCACACCCAGACACTACAGTAGAAAGAAAAATAAATAAATAATTGAAAATAACAATAACCAACCCATACTTATATGTGCCAAATGTCACCAGAACCACCACCACGCCAAGGCAACACCTAAACTCTACCAAAACCGCCACAATAGAAAAAATAAAAATAAAAATTTTAAAACACCCTGATAATCTAGACATCAACACAACCACACCACAACCACAACCACACCACAACAATCACCACCAAAGTAGAAAAAAATTTAAAAACAGCCATAGCTAGTCTAGACCCACCACAACAGGAAGAAAAAAAAAAAAACAAAAAAAAACAAAAAAAAAAAAAAAGAAGAAGAAGAAGAAACAACCATGTCCGAGATCGGGAAAAGAGAGAAGTGTCGACAATTGGGTACTAAAATGAATTTTTTTTTTTTTTTTTTTTTTTTTTAAAAAATGTTAAAGATTAGGGTAGAGAAAGAGGCTTAATGATAAGGGTAGTTTTGTCAATTAAAATGACTGATATTTTTTAAATTAATTGATAAGGGTAGTTTTGTCAATTAAAATGACTGATATTTTTTAAATTAATTGAATTAAATCATTAGGAGTAAATATGACATTTGAAACCATAAGGGGTGCCATTATTAAAAAAGTCGTTGAGCTGCATTCAAATGACCTTGGCAAAAACCTCAAAAAGTGTTAATGTAATTTACCTTTATCATTATTACGGAGTAATCGGTAGGTTGCTAGACTTTAAAGTTGCGTCTTCAAAATCAAAAATAATCTAGGGTTAAGTTTTGTGCACTAAACTTGTTCTTTTTAGCCATTTGAGTATGATATTAATTAGTACTTCACGATTAAGTTTTTTTTACCTTGAATTACCTCTGGTTGTAGGATTCACTTCTCAATTAGGAATCGGTGAGCTCCCATGAAGTTGCTAGAAAATTATGTGGGTGATACATGTCCACACACATTTGTACTGAACAAAAGATTGTCGTCGAACTTCTATGAAGTACGGACACAGGCACGGGACATGGGTATGACACGACACGGATAAAGCGACATGGCAAATTTAAAAAAAATAGGACACTATCATGGCAGGGATACGCCAATAATATATATTGCAATATATATATATATATATATATATATACAAAATCCACAATACCACAAATTTAATCTCCCTAAAAACAATATTGCAATAAAAGAAATATTCAATTCCTCATCTAAGCAATTAAGAACTTAAAAAAGTTATCAACAAAATCAGACAAATAAGATCAAGTACATTTCCAACATGTTTAACATTCTTCATTCATCAGTTCATTGCCTATGTAGTTGTTTTTAAAAATTTTCAAAATTTTACTTTTAAACATTTAAAATTACATTAGGTACCCCGTTTTTCTTTTTAAAAAAATTACAAAATATATCCCGCTGTGTCTAGTACGTGTCTTCCGCATGTCCCATCTTTATTTATCCCGTATCTAATAAAAAATAATTTTTGAACACTGCACAAAAATGTGAGACACAAATATTCATACTTAAATAAGTGTCCGACATTGGTACCGATAACGGTGTCCTTGCTTGATAGTCAAATTTCTAACTTTAGACTTCAATGACTGTTGTCCCAACCATTCTTGTCAGAGTAGCTAAATCCATGCCATTGTGAAAGTACTAAAAAACCCTCACTTATATTATACCAAATAATGTATATATATACATGGTTTCAATATATGTATATGTATGTGTATATATACAGACATCAATGCGCGCGGCGCACACATGTATATATAAGCACATAATTACAGAAGTTTATATATTGGGATGATTAAACAGAATGGGTTGAAAGACTTACGTGGGTGTATACATGAGGTATTTGAGTGGGGGAAAAATGGAGAAAAGGCTCTTGGGGATGAGCTCAAAGTTGCAGTGTCCCATGTTGTTCATGAAATCAATGTAGGTTATATAACCAGCAAATGAAGCCACAGAGCCTGTTCCTGTGTTCGCCACTGTCAACATTGGTATTGCAAAGAGTATGAAATATGCTATGTGTTCAGCAAATGGATGAATCACAGCTGCAACAACACCACCCACATTATTATATGTATCAATATATATATGTATATATATGTATGTATCTATATATCTAATACTTATTAGTAATACAATGTTAACAACTCTATGTATATCAAAATTATTAATGGGAAAATGATCACAAGCTAAACTTTTTAGGAGAATTTCTATATGTAATTTTTCAATTTTTTTATGTAAACCACGATGGTTGAGGCAAAACGAGTGCGTGTGAATTTAAAAAATATATGTGATCCTCAACAATTGCATTATTACGTGGATAACATGTACCCAGCTTGTCAAAAATGTGAGAGTTGACACTCATAATTATCCCCGACACAAAAAATTAATTGATAAGACTATACTACATTGTTGGTGTTAATGAAGTTTTGATTTGTAGTATTCAAAATGAGGGTTCAAGTCTCAACCGGTATGTGGTTCCTAATAGTTGCATTAATATGTGGATCCCGTGATGAACCACAGCATCTAAAAAGAAGAAAATTGACACTCATAAATATTGTCAAAAATCCAGCCAATATTGACACTACATCGTTACATGTTAATGAAGTTAGGACTACTCCTTATTAACAATTGATTGCAATAGATACCAAAATCTACGAATCTAAAAAAAAAATTCAAAGAAATCTAAGTAATAAAGATTTTTCATAATAATTATATATATATAGAGATATAGATATATGTAAACAAAATTAATGTGATGGGATCTTACATGTAATGGGCTCAGTGACAACGGAGGAATGATGATGAGAATGGTAACGAGAGTAGAGATAGTGATGGTGCAGTGCTCTGTGTAACCAATAGTAGAGGAACTCCACAGGTCCAATATGAAGCAAAATAGTGATGATCACACCCTCTGTTCTCCAAATTGGTAGGTTTGAGCCTCCTGTTAGTGCCATGTTACCCAAGTAGTATAGTATTCCATTAAATATGATTTGATCATCCCTGTCATATCCAACCACCAAATATATGTTTCAGACCCAAATCAAACATAAATATGGAATATATATATATTGGGGATATGGGATTAAATGCAAGTAAAAATAGAACAATATTTATAAATTTGGTAAGAGGCTACTAGTATAATATTTGAGTGGTGAATAGAGAGTATTTACTCATTGATGAATAGGTAAATATTGTTCCGAAGGAAATTATATCTAGGATGTAAATTTTTACCGCCCCGTTCCGCCCCATTAATAACGGATATGGGAACACTTTTTATACCGTTGGGGCAGACATGGATACAAATTTTGTATCCATCGCTGGTCACGAGGCGGGTAAGGGTTCAGTATACATATCTTAGGGGCCCCGCCCCGCCCCGCCCCGCCCCGCCCCGCTAAGCATATATATATATGTAAACTTGGTATTAAATTTGCTTTTGTTTTGGTTATGGTGGAAGTTGGAGCTTAGAATATCTTGTGATTTGATTGTATTAAACTTTTATTTTTGTTTATTATGTTATCCGAATTATGTTATGTGCATGTTATTTTTTTTTTTTGTTGTTGGGATACATAATTTAATTTATGTTGTGCCATTCCTAGGCTTTCCACATTCAAATAGCAGGAGTTTAAGTTCCAAAAAGTGGGAAAAAAAATTTGTTAGCGGGGCGGGCATGGGGGCACAGTATATCCCAACGGGGCGGGGCTGGACATGAAAATCCAACCCGTCGAGGGTTTCGGGGCAGGCATGGACTTGACAAAAATTAAAAAAGGCAGGGTGAGATTAAGGGAAACCCACTCCAAACCCGTCCCGTTGCCATCCCTAATTATATCATCTTGAACTTTAGTGGTTAATTAGTAGGGATGACCTACTCATTAGTGAGTATGTATGCAGTACTACCCAATAATTTAAGTTTTTAAGCCAGCAGATAAGCGCACACCCTTTACACCTAACCATCGAAGGTTAGTCCATTGATTTCTCCTCTCCTCCCTAAGTTGTAAAAGGCTGAGAGTTCGACACCCTCTTAAGAACAAAGTGAATGTGTAATTTATTTGGAAAAAAAAAAAAAAAAATAGTGTGAAAATATCATTTGTTTTTTCTTCTAAAAATAAAAAACAAAACAAAAAGTAGAAAAAGAAAAAATGTTTTTAAAGGCACTGTCACGTGAAAAAAAGAAGTATATGTATATGCGTGTGAGTGCAAATAGTTACTGAAACAGTAATTTTTTTCACAGGCAAACCTTTTTAGACATCTTATGACTACATCAAACCTACTAAACTTGGCAAAGTTTTTCTTGGACCTCCATTCTTCATTATGATGTGCATGTTTGATTGTTTGTATATGTGTGAGTTGAAAACTTCAAATATATCGATATTTATATGTATATATAGAGATATATATACCAGTTCCTTTCTCTGTCCACTTGCTCGAATTCAATGCTCTTGTCAACAATCCTATTATTGCCCTTGGCGGTTCGGTAGCGAGAGAGAGTAATCCATATTTGGTTATGAAGCATCCTCCACAGCATCAATGGAAATATGAGTAAGTTGGAAAGGTCCCTCTCATTTTCATCCTTCACTATGTATGAGTATATGCTATGAACCACCCATGGGGCTACAACCACATACTTCATCCAAATCAAGCACAGAAAATAAGAATATGTAAGTATCACAAGTTACTAAACTATAACCTTTCAATATATATAACTATAGTAAAATAAAAATAATAATAATAAGGAGCTAGGTGAGTAAACAGACTCCGCCATTGTGGGATCTAGGAAAGTTCACATGTATGTTCTCCATTACTTGTGTGGATAAGGCCTTTGTTATATAGAGTAGATAACTTGGATCATAGGGATCAATTTCTAGTCGCATAGCTTCATAATAATTCTGTAAAGCTTCTGCATAATTTCCTTCCGATTGTGCTGACATCCGTTCATTCGATTCAAAGAATCTCTATTCTAGAACCGCACACCTTTGATGAAGAGGGTGTTTTCGGTTTTAAAACCATGACCTCTAGGTCACAATGAAAAACTATCCACACTCGTATATACATAAAATAAAAAAATGTATATTAGAGCTAGGTTGTACCACGTTGTACTTCATCCAAATTAATGAAACAAAGGAAAAGAAAATATGTAAGTATCAAAAGTTATTTAACTATATATGGTAAATTAAACTGAAAACAAATATACTATATGAGAGCTAGGTTGGGATCAATTAATGTACATATGAAAAATAAAATTTTGGTACTAGCTTTTTTTTAGTTGGTGCTCTACCATTTAATTATTAATCATTAGTACTATAGTCAACAGCCAATACTCTGAAGAATGCACAAAAACTCAGAAGATGCATGAGAGTGTGTAAAATTACAACCTTAAAACATAATTTGGTACTGCTTATTACTTTAAGAATGTGCATGATTCGAACTTCAACCTCCCATATGAGAGAAGTTGCAGATACCGACCACCACTAGAGTTGCACCCAGGGACGGAGCCAATGAAGGCCTGGGGGGGCACATGCCCCCCTGAGATGGTCAGCAACCTATAATATATGTCGTAATTTTTTAAAAAAAATTCATATATATAAAAAAAATTATATAGTGCCCCCCTCAAATTTCTAGTTCCTAAAATTATATTTTTATTTTTTCTTTATTTTCTCTTTTATTCTTCACATTCCTTAAATTTCCTTAGTAGAAAAAGTCAAATTTTTCTTCCTCAATTGAAACCTTGTAACTATTTCCTTTTAAAGTTTTCTCATTTTTCTTTTCTTTTATATTTTAATATTTTTTTTTTTCCTTTGTCTTTTGAATTTTATAGTTGTTATACACACACACCCCCCCCCCCCCCTGAAATCCTGGCTCCGTCACTGGTTCCACCCTTGGTGGTGTGTATGTATATATATATATATGTTTGTTAACTTGTATACATAAATATATGCATGTCTATAGATAGATATAAAGGTAGACAGAAGGATACATGTGGAGAGAGAGAGTACCTTGAAGCTCCCAAGGTGTTTCCATGGCCAGTCAGTGAGGAGTCCTGGTTTAGAAGCCATACTCTTTGCTGATAAACCACTTCTCTTCTATGTTCAACAATGCATATTTGAAGTGCAATATATATAGAGTTTCACCTGATAAGTAATTAAATACTAATTGGACACGTACCCCCTGCATGCTTTATGTATGTCAAGCTAGCTTAAACATTATTATTATTATTATTATTATTATTATTATTATTTCTATATATAAATATATATATATAAGTTTTGATTTAGTCAAGGAATTATTAATGCTAATACATATATGCAAAACTATTAAATTTTATCAACTAAAGACTAATATTTAATAATAGTGTAGAATTGAACATTAATCAATTAAACTCTTAAAAGATATGATGTCTTTTCGTTAAGCTAAATAATTGAGATCCATTGATGAGCCGATAAACATAGTACAGTATGGTTGATTTAATTGATCTTTCACTTCCAATATCAATAAAAAGAATGATTGGATTATAAGAAAAATGAGACATTGATGAGCCGAAAAACATTGTACAGTGTGTTCAACACTATTTAGAAATTTGTTTGGTAACGTAAATTTGTTACAAGATTTTTAGATGCAAAAACATGAAGTATGTTTGGTAAAAAGTGTTGCAAGTTTGAAATTTTAAATGGTTAATTAAAAATGTTATTTAAAAAAAAAAAAATTGAACAGTGCTTTGCTATAATGCGGAAACAAACGAAAGTATCATTTTGATGCTTCCAATTTTGGCCTCAATTCTGAAAGCGCTTCAGTACTATTCATAAGCACAATAAATACTACCAAACATGCTTCGTACTTTTACGTCGCTACAGTACACTAGCCAAAAAAAAAAACTTCATAACTATGCTAGGTTAATTATTTAACTTTGTTCTAATGACTTCCAAAACATGTTTCATTACTTGGTATGTTGTCATCATCATTTTGTCAAGGGCAATTCATTGCGAGATCCATCTTCTTGACAATGATTGTCACTTTTTTTTTTTTTTTTTTTTTTAAAAAAAAAAAAAAAGCAAAAACTTACAAAATAGGTAATTTGGTAATTTTGAAAATTCAGACTTGAAATTAAGAGTGACATCTATCAACAAGAAAATAAAAATGATCGAGTAGATTTAATTAGTTTGGACACATAAAAAAAAGTTCGATAAATACTCTACAAAGAATAGGGATATATTTAGGTAGAGAGGCCAACCAAAATAAATGAACTTATTAGAAATGGCTTTAGAATGCTAAACATATTGGATGAAATGACAAGGTATAAAAGAGTGACATCTATCAACAAGAAAATTAAAATGATCGAGTATATTTAAATAGTTTGGACCAAAAAAAAAAAAAATTCTTAATTGGTACTCACACACACATGTCTCTTCTGAGACTTGAACTCCTAACCTCCCTTACCGCTAGACCACCAACCCATTGTTTAAAAAATAAAAAAGTTCTATAAATACTCCAGGAAGAATAGAGATTTATTTAGGCAGAGAGGCCAACCAAAATAAATGAAATTATTATAAACGACTTTAGAAAGCTAAACATATTGGATGAAATGACAAGGAATAAGGTTATGTTTTGTGTGAGTGAATGGAATCAAATGAAAGTGGAATGAAATACATTTGTTTCCATTCTCTTATTTGGTGTGTCACATTAAAAGTGGAATGGCCATTCCTAGGGAATGTCCATTCCATCAAAAAGGTGGAATGCCCATTCCACTTCTTGAGAGGTGAAATGACCATTCCATTCCCACTAAGAATTAATAAAGTAATAAAATAATTTAAAGAGATAATTCACGCATACACACACACTATATATATGCTATTTGTTCCCCCTCTCTCTATCTCGTTTATTTCTCTCTCTCTATTATCTCTTTCCCTTTTATTTTTGCAAATTAATTTTTTTAGTTAATTTTTTTTACTAATAATAAAATGTAATTTAAAGAAACAATATAAATTCATTCGATTCTAATTTTCTTACCAAACATAGGAATGAGAATGAGATTCTATTTTTACACATTCCATGTTTACAACCAAACGGTGGAATGAGAATTATTATTCTCATTCCATTACCACCTCCATTCTCATTCAATTCCAATTCATTCCACCACACCAAACATGTCCTAAAGAATGAAAAAAGAGAATTCATGTGATCCATCAAATTAATATGTGAATAAGGAAAGGATGATAGTAATGACGGCCATAATAAATTAAGACTAAATAGCGGTACGGACTGATGTATCAATCACTGATAAAAACATTCTTAATTACTTCTTATAAGAAGTTCTTGTTAAACTCTATTAATTGAAGTTGCCTAAAATACGAGCATGGTTGAAATACTCATCCCATAATTAGGTGGAACAAATTGACTAAGTGGGCATTTACCAACCAACTGAATATCTGTTTTAGGACTCAGTGAACCACTGTTTGTAACTTTTGTCATAAATGTTGATATGTTAATATATAGTAATTATATTCGACGATCATATACATGTATGGTGTGAATGAATTATTTGTCACCAATGATGAGCAACAGATTATGTGTGTGTGTGGGGTGTATATGTATATGTATGGTGTGAATGAATTATTTGTCACCAATGATGAGCAACAGATTATTTGTGTGTGTGTGTGTGTGTGTGTGTGTGTGTGGTGTATATGTATACACACATACATACATACTGCCTCATGAATGCGCTAACACCCAACTAATTAACAGGTTGCTTTTTCCTACTGGTCGGTCACCTTCACCAATCCTCTCTCTCCAATAAAATGGAAAATATCAGGTTTCATTTTCTCATTATTCTCTCATTGGTCACCCTGATGAATCCTATCCTATCCGATCCTATTTCTTCAATAAAATGGAAAATATTGGTATATTCAAATCACTTGAAGAAGACAAAAAAAAAAATCACTTGAAGCAATCTAATTGCAATCCAACTTGCAATTATATGAGTCACGTTTACAGTCAAATTTTTGTTGCTACATTTATTGGCCTCAAAACCCTTTAACCCATCTAACATCATAAAGCATTTGCTACATTTGTCGGCTTCACAATCCTTTCAAAAAGTACATTGAATATTGGTATGCAATAGTAGTGCCAGGTTGTTAATAACACCCATTCACATGCATGAGACTTGGGACTCATTCATGCCCCTCTAAGTAATCGAAACGATAGACTTTCACAATGAAAAGATTTATGGAAGCTAAGAGAAAAAAAATTCATAACAAATTATAAGGGAGTTGATATTGGCATTGTACATTTGACTCTCAAAATTACAACTTTTAAATTTAGTATTTGAAATAATTATTTTATCTCCTTTTTTTATTATTATCTTTTCAAATAAGAATAATGCTATCATGAGAGCTCTCTCATAACAATAAGTATGAGTTATTCTTATTTAACCATCCAATTAAGACAATTTATTGAGATTTGTGAAAAGTCAAATGAGTTTTTTTAATAAATCTCTTAAAACATTGGTTAAGTAAGAGAACTATTCAAATAAATCCTTTAAACTTCATTTAAGAGATGAAGGGTAAACTTTTCATTTCAATTATTAAAATTAAAAGGTGGAGTGTTAATATCAGTTTCCAATCATAAACTCTCTTTGAAATAATTTTTTTCAAATAAGTGACTAGACAAAAAAAAAAAAAAATGAAAAATGATTTATTTGATCTTTCACTTCCATGATCAGTAAAAGAGAATGATTGATTGTAAGAAAAATGAAGCATTGATGAGCCGACAAAATGGTTGATTCATGGCCTCAAAATTAGATCATCCCAACTACACTTTGATGAAAATTTAGTTAGTTGGTCCTAAAAAGTCAATCTAAGACATAAGACGTGTGTGAGATATTAATTGTTTTTGATAATTATTGTAGACATAACAAGAGATATTAATTGTTTTTGATAATTATTGTAGACATGACAAGTACAACGTATGACTCACAATGTGAATCCCACAACATATTTGATTGTGATATTTTTGATTGGGCCACTCGAGTGATGTTGTTGGGATTATGTGATTGGGCCGCTCGAGTGAACTTGTTGGGACATCTATATTGTGAACAAGTTTAAGGGATTTTTTTTTGAAAAAAAAATTTAAAAAAATAAAAAAACAACAAGTTTAGGATATTAACATGTCCGTACCTCATCTGAAATAATCTAACAGTTTAGGATCTGTTTGGCATGTGATGTGTTTTAGGCATTATGTTTTTTGTCAATACCAAAATATAATTGTTTTGTTGTAGGAGTGTTTTGGGTAGAAATCAGAATCATATTTGAAAACAAAAATTTGTTTTGAAAAATTCGAATATTTGTTTTAATTCCTCAGCTACAATTCCAAAACACACAATATCACTAATTTAGTGATATAAATTTGGACAAAAAAATATAATATGTTATAAATTATTTTAAACTATTATAAATCGTCCAAACATAATATTGACTCAAATTTATATATCAATATCCAAAAAATAATTTCATAATACATGGGCCCTTAATTTGGTGAGTTGGTCCAGATTTCATCTATGGATTTGATAGGAACCCACTTGACTATTAAGTACATGTGACACGTCAACTTTCTTTTCTTTTCTTTTCTTTTTTTATTTTTTTATATGGAAATATGATAAGTTTAACTTAACTGATATAATAACATATGACCCAATGATGCTATTAATTGATTAAACTTTATTTTCTTTTTTTAAAACGGTGGGTCGTTTCCTACCCGTTGGGAGGATTATTTCCAAATAATTATGAACGCGTAACAAGTCTTAACACCATGTCAATCTTAGAATATTAGAAACGTATCATTTTTAATTAAGTACTTTTTATTGTATAATCAAAGTGGATTGAATCCACAAAAACAGAGATTAAAACTGAAAACCCCCATGATGGAAATGACAACTTGGATTATTATGGAAAGAGTTGCACGTACAAAATTTTACTGTTTTTTGGTTAGGATTATTAGGGTGAGAGTCGCAAGTACAAACTTTCATTCTCTCCATCGAAATATCTAACATTAAAATCAGATTGGTTAGGCAATCAAGCATCTTTAAATCAGATTGGGGGTTTGGAATTCCATTCTTGTCA